TTGTCATCTACACTGCCTTAAACTCATCAGATTGCGATGAAAGTTGGCAGGTGTTCTTAGGAGACCCTTTGCCACATTCCTGCACGTTTTTGGGCCATTCTGAGACTGTCGACAATTTCATTTTTGGGTCAGGGTTTATTGTCCAACGGCTCCCGTAATCCACAAGTGTTCTAGTACCTGTAGTCCTAGGTCACGAACTGCTCTCTTCTTATTCGCATCGGGGGATACAAGTGTTGAAAAATACCTTAAAACAATGACATTAGAGAACATGACCCTTGAATATGTTACCTTCTTTAGTAAGGGGGTGATCCCTTACTCGTTTGACATTATGCTCAAAAGAGTAGTGTGTTATGAGCGAGCCAAGAAAGTTGATGCTAAAGTCTTTGATAACTCAATTGGTGAAGAATACTATCAAGAATGAGAGATGAACATGATCCAGAAAAGCAACCTTTTTGCAAATCATTCATAAAAAAAGATTGAAAATTACTCTATCACATAGAGGATGCAGACTTCCACACCAAGGGAATTCACTCCCATTAATGATCTATGATCAATATCATTAAGAAATTTCTTACGGCGAGGCTCATAGAATTACCTATAGTAGTCAAGATTCCTCCCTTCCATGGAGGTGATACATCTTGTTGGTGTGATTGGCATCAAAATTATGAATACCGAGCTTTCAGGCATAGAGTTCATGACCTCATTGATAACGACATAGTAAGTATTCAAAAGGAAGAACTTGATGGGAAAAAAGAACAAGAAACTCTAAATGCCTTGACAAATAATTCTGATGTCAACCTGATTAACTCAGAAGAATTATGAATTGTGCCTAAACTAGAAGAACATTCACAATGGCCTTAGAGGACAGGAAAAAATCAACAGGAAAATCTGATAAATGAAGAACAAAATGAGCATAAGCTCACCAGGAGTTAAACGACTGAAGATCCTCAAGATCAAAGTAATGAGGATAATCTTAGCTCCAAGCCCATAACCCAAGAAATGGTCATCACATGAAAAATTCCCCTCCAAGTTACAGTCCCGGAAGTGGCACAAGAGGTCCCCATCATCGAGAATCAAACTGGGGCCGATGATTCCTTCATTCTGTACTTTCAAATTAATACAAGAAATGATTAACAAATGTGTGACAATGAATCAAACTCATAAGAGCAAGATGAACTCAAGCATAAGCTTAACTAAGACTCTAAAACTTGGGATTCTTCAACACATAATGATAAGGAAAACCTTAATCCGGAGACAATAACTCAAGAGGAGGCGGATGAAAAAATTCTTCAAGGAAATCTATTGCCTCAAATATCAAAAAAAGTTAATCTTTTGGAAATTCTAAAAAGCTCACATGGGCCGCCTTTACAAGACTTCCTAGATGATCCACCCATCTAGGATGAGGAATTAAAAGCTGAGGACCAAATTAGGTCACCTCCTCAAGAGGAGGGATCTCTAGAACTTAACAAGGGCAGAAGCACGATTCTGATAACCAAGGCACCCTCAGATCAAGAGATTTCATTTAATGAAGAACAAGCCATTGTTGATTCAAAAGACTTTGTAGGGGCAACCCCATCAAACTACCCAGTAGATACGGTCTCCTCCCATGAAGAGAACATAATAGGGGTAGCTGATGAAGTTGAACTCCTATTTTTTGACTCCTAACATGCCATAAGGCCATCTAATGTTAACTCAGTCACTATTCTTGTGTGAGAGTCTCACCTGAGCTCAAGCACTAAGAAGGAGCCTACTACGGAGTTAACTTTCGAAAAGCAGTATAAATCATGGAATAAAAATGACAATTGAAAAGGAGTGAGGTGATCTAACTAAATGGGGCATTCAAGCTTCATATTTCAAAATGCATTGACGCCTAATGAGTAACATAAATCATCCCATTAAGAGGGAAAACCTAATGAGCTTATCCGTTCAAGCAAAAAAATGATGGATTATGAAACTGTGAGTGCTTCTTAGTCTGAAAATCAAAGTTCAGTTAGGGCAATTCAAAGGATAGGTCCGAGGGAAATTCGACGACCATTGTCAAAGAGATATTGGTTGTCAACCTTGGGCAAGGGAAATCAGAAGATAACCAATATTTGAACCTCTCTACCACTTGGAGAAGAGATAAATGATCAAATTCCTACATGATCTTAAGGCAAATTGCTACAAAAAAAATAAAAAAGAAAAAGAAAAAACAAGTGAAAATTTCATACCGGCAAAGCTTTTTAACTATTTCCTAATTTAATCATAATTTCATACCGGCAAGGCTTTGACACCCATTTCCTTTTGACAAAATAAAAAATGAAAATTTTAGATACCCCCTTGACCCTACTTTCTAGGCATGAGACTTTCCAATACTTTGTAAAGCACACTACTAATCCAAAAAAAAAAAAGTATTTTTGTAATAATCCCACCGCATCCCCTCCCCCCCCCCCCCACCGCCGAAATCAAAAGGTTATGTCTTTTAAGACAAAAATGCCCACTTAAAGCACACATTTCTCTCACCCTCTCAATTTTTTTAAGTGATGCCGGTCAGACACACTATATATCAGGCAGGCATTACTTTAAATTATGTGCTAGTCTAGTGCAATGTGCCAAACAAGCTTCATTTTAAACGATGTACTAATCTGCCACAATATTGTTCGGACCGACACATGTTTTAAAATTAGACTAGTCTGACACACATTGTACAGGACTAGTGTGATTTTTGTCTTGAGAAAAAATGCGTTATATTGGGGGATTTTCATCCTAAAGGCCTTACTGGGCACAGAGGGGGGATTAAAAGGGGTGTATCCATAATTTTCATAAATAAAAATGAGTGATTTATTTACTTAACAAATAAAAAGAGAGTTGGAAGGCACAATGATGATTATATTTGAATAATAATAATAATAACAATAATAGCAACCAAAGGAAAAACATACAGAAATGTGGCAATAAAAAAAAAAATCAAAGGGTCATTTGGATCCTCGTAAAAAAATCTATTTTTCTATAAACTATATTTAGCGAGAAAAGTATTTCCTATAAAATGGATTTATATTATATTGTTTCAATAGCATATGAATACAAACTAGAATATATGTTACTATTGTTTGGATTATCTAGAAAATGTATTTCTCGGACAAATTGCTAGCATTAGTTTTACATGTAATTATCCTCAATTTATTTATGGAAAAAGTTTGTAGAACCAAGGCTTTAAACAATCAAATTAGAGCCCATATCAAAAATTTCACTAGAGGAGGTTGTTTTGATGCCCAAATATCCTCAAATTGATCATCACATCAAGATATATGGCCATGAGAAAAAGAATAGATTTCAAATTTTATAAATAGTACATCTTGTAATACATTTTTGGACCGTTGAGTTTCAAAATTTTCAAGATTTCATAGATCTGCTCAATCTACATTATTTTTTAAACTTTAAATTTTATAATTAAGATGAAAATATATTTTGAGGCTATCAAAAAAAATTTCAATATTGAAAACACATTTCTCGACACTATCTCTTTACTTGATTGTTATCGAGCCTCAGCCCCACACAAACCGCACCCTTTATTTATCAGTATAAACTTATCATAACATTTTATTGTCGTTATTTGACTTCTTGGTTTAATTTCTTTGGTCGTTTTGACCTATATGGTTTTATCACCGTCCATTGAACTAATCTGGGAGTAGTTGAAGAGAGAATGACAAATGTTAAGACGAGTCTCTTTCATTACAGTCATAAAACAATGATCTGAGAGTGATAACCTCATGCTCTTATAGAAGATGCCATAAAGCCCTTTTCCAAAGAAAATATGCCATTATAAAGCCTCCTGTTCTGGTTTTGGCTCCGCCTCTCTCTCTCTCCATCTCAGAGTCCTGGGTTCATCACCACACCATCGCCTAAACCCCCCTCTCTCTCTCTCTCTCTCTCTCTCTCTCTCTCTCTACTACTACTACTACTACTACTACTACTACTACTACTACTACTACTACTACTACTACTACTACTACTACTAACACGAACTACTACTACTACTACTACTACTACGTACTACTACTACTACT